AAATAATAATTATTTATATACAAATGAATCAGAAGTTAAATTCCTGAGATAAATAAATAATACTTATTATTTTATAAAAGAAAAGTACTTCTAAACACGTTTTTATGATTTGTCATTATAATAATGAATAATCATAAACGTATCACCTTTGGGAATGACTGAATGAGTATTATATCAAACGTTTAGCACATCACTTTATCGCCAATAATATTAATAAAAAAAACCTAAATATTACTAATTATAATAATAATAATATAATAATAAATAATAATATTATTTGTAATTTATTTCATTACCAATGTAATAAATACCCATAGTAAATATAATTTAATAATTTATATAATAATATTATATAAATAATAAAATACCTATGATTCTACGGACATACTTATTCTTACTTAATTTTAAAGATGCATATATAAAGAATATTACCAGAAATTCAAAATTGGGAGGCGGAGTACTGGCATGTACGAAATGCAAATAACTTTGGAAGGGATAAATCACTAACGATGGGTTAAAAAGCACTAACGTGCACTAATGAAGCACAAACAATCGCCCCAGGTTTGGACCCGTAATTCAAAAGGAGGGGGGGTGCTGGCGACGCATGAATCTCGATAACTATATTAATTATTATAATAATTTAACATATTATGTTAATCATTATTACGATTTATGTCTTCATTTGTTGTTATAATTATTTTTTTATTTTTTTTTTTATTGGTCTAGAGCACTCGGCAACTATGCGACCATTAGCTATTGTTGGTGCGTTCCCAAGGCGCGTAGCTCGGCGAACTTGGAACGGCGTGCTTGTTGTACCGAGCCTAATACTATGGGGGGGGGGGTGAATAATTTCTAGGAACATATATAGGGGGGCTATCAAAGCACTTAGAAAACGGCCAATGAGGGGGGATAACCCCCCCACTTGAGCACACCCCTGTCTGTAAAACATACACGCAATACACAATAGCACAGATTATATGTTGGCTAGGAACCACAAAATGAATGATAAAATTGAAATGTTTTGTCTATAGCAGTCTAGTCGAAAAATTGAAACGATTAGGAAATATTTAACATTTTTATATTATTATCATCACTGGTGTGGATGATATTAGGTTTTGGATGTAGGATGTATCTGCTGTGGACACTAGACACCAATGGGCTACCTATACTGTTTTACATGGAAATTTTGTTTTTAAATTGGACTGCGTGTCCGTTCTATCATTCCCCGAGCCTATACAAGTTTTAACTTAATAGTTTTAACCATAAGTTTTTATGACCCGTGGATAGCAATATTAATAATCAATTAATTGAAAAAAAATTTAACAAAAAACCATTACTCATACAATTTTCCTTTCGTATCACAACTATGTGAGAGCAGGCCCTATTATTTGTAAAATTTCGGACTGCACATTTCATTTTATTCTCGCTACCATCTTAGCGAAAGGAATGTATTACATAATACATATTACATATATAATATATATATATTATATACCATATGTATACAATAATTTAACAATGCAATTCAATAAAACAACAAAATACTTATCTTTTAATAAAAATCATAAAAATTAAATAGCATAATATGATAATAAAAACCTTAACATAACTTTTTAATAATTAAAATCATAACAATGCATATTACTTTCTTGATTTTTCATCAAGTAAGTATAGTAATTGAAATGAAAAAAGTCTGAACTTTGAAAACTTCAAGAATTTGTGTTAAATAGGAAAATAATAAAAATGTAACTCAGTAATGATGAATAGGTGGGTAATTTAGCTAGCTTTAATATAAAATATTAATAAGAGAGATTTTATATCACACCCAAGCGGTATACCCAATTTGAATCGATAAAAACATTCGCGTGAACAGTCCCAAAATTTCTATTTTTTTAACTTTTATCCTAAACTATGATACCTAGCTAGAAATTTGGTTGATAACTCATTAAAAAGGGATTATCAGGTAGACACTAAATGTGGAATTAATTTTTTTTTTTTAAATTATTTAATTTTTCACAGATAAAAAAAAAAAGAGTTATTTTCTCTAAATTTTCATTTAGAGATGTAGATCTCCGAAACTGGAGAACGGATTTTGTTGTTTGGGGTCTTGTTAAATTCACATTTGCTAGGAGAATTGCAGTGAAGATTTTCAGAACTTTATCTAAAATCGTTAATTCATTACAAAGCTGTAAAGATGAAAAACATAAAAAAACGCCCAATAAAATTTGTTTTAATTTATTTTAATGTTCTGTAGTGAATTAACTATTAAAGATAAAGTTCTGCAAATCTTCACTGCACTTCTCCTAACCAATGTGAATCTAACAAGACCAAAATCAACGAAATCCGCTGTCCGGTTTCGGAGATCTATCTCATTAAATGAAAATGAAAATGATTTTTTGTGGGGCTGTTCACGCCGACATTTTTCTGGATTCATATTGTTTGACCGCTTGGGTGTGATTAAATCAGTTAAAAAATTTCTAAAAATTCAAAATCAAGAAAGTTTACATGCCGATCCCTGACTTGGCAATTTTTGTTTTGTAGACCGTAGTGCACACACGTTCAAATCGTAGTGCACACTTGTATATTCGTAGTGCACATTGTGTGTCGTGGTGCACATAAAAATAGGGCCTGTGTGAGAGGTAACTAGGTAAGGTAATATACATTATGGCATTATGTTACCTATCCTTCTTATCTTGTGTAATTGAATAAGTATTGTATAGTATTATAATAGCATGTATTACCACTAATTACTATAATAGTCTATAGTATTGTAAGTAATTGAATAATATTTAAAATTTCTATAAAATGTTTTTTTTTCGATACATTTTTATGTGCGTCCCGTATAGTAAACTATTCAATATATTTGGCACAGTTAATACTTTGAGTTTGACATGCTTTGTGTAGGTAGTCATCGTACTTCGTGATAACTAATATCTATTATAAAACTAGGACATATAATGATTATTTTATGTATATTATTCAGTATTCTGTACTTGAGCAATTCTTGGTGTTTATCTTAATAAAATAAAAAATAATTCACGATAATAATAATTAATACTATATCATTGATACTTGATAGTATTTATAATCAATGTATTATATTATATACCTATACATAAATATAAATGTATAATACACATAGGCGTGCGCACGGGGGCAGCAGAGGCAGCATATGCTGCCCCTGGACTTACTTTGGGGCCACCGGGGCCGGCAAATATTAAATAATGGGCCTCGGTAAAATTATATTTCCACAAAGGATTTTTTTGTTTTGATAAACTTTAGAGTATAGATAAATATTTTATATATATGCTTGTAGAAAAGTACACCTTTAGTGGCTTAGTACCTTACTGTACAACCTTCTATCCAAAAAAACAAATAACCAATACAATTTTAATTTTTATATCCAATAGTAAAAAAAGTAAAACTATGGGCAGGTTTTAATGGTGAATTTGAAAAATGGGCCGAATTAATCTCTTGCTGCCCCTGAAACCGGAGGCTGCGCACGCCTATGATAATACAATAATATATTAATATGTAAATATTCCACAATTTATTAATGCGTGCTATCGTGCATCCCGTACCTACTAACCTACGCAGTATTTTACGATGACGGGTACGATTTAAAATGAAGTAGGTAGGTATTATAATTTATATTTATTATATTTATATTATTATTATTTATTCTTTTACATAGTATTATAATATTGTGTAGATTGTGCATTTGTGCACCATTAAATCACGATCTCCATTCACATTTCACAGCGATAACTCGTACGATCCTACGATACATTATGTCTGTATTAGAATTAGACATTTGAACAAATTATTAAATTAATAATGTATATTAAATAATAATATTCTATAATATTTTGCTATATTCTGTGACAATAATCAGTACCTAGGTAACCTTTGTCAAGTTCAAGTATCAACATTCAACACTCAACTGTTATTTAAATTTATTATTTATTCTATGAATGTCAATATAGCCTATAGATATAGTATAAAACGTACTTACGTTGTACGTAGGTACCTACATTATAACATTAAGAGTTAAGACCGTGTTTTTTCGCATTATTCTAATCTGCATGGTGTATACAGAGTGATTCACTGACCATGTTTATGATTATGGCTCACCCACCCCGTTTAAAGTAAAATAATATCTATACAGGTTCACAAAATACATACCTAAGTTATGTTTAAATAATTTAAGGAGTATTCTTTGATGATACAATCTTTATACAAATTAAATTTTTTTAATAAATTAATGTTAATTACTTACAAATTACTGGACAAAATATCCAAATTTCTAAAATGTGATAATGATATAAAATGATGACCTTATAAGCTATAGAAGTATACTTAATTCCAAAATCAGTATTTCTATAAGCTCATTAGTCATTATTATGTTAAGGAAAATCATGTGGGTGTGCTTTGTGCATGCTAGTGTAGTGGTGCATGGTGTATCACTCTGTATGATATAGAATTTTAGTGAACGCCGATAATCACCCACCGACGATGTTTTATCATGACGTTATCAGTGTTCGACAAACTGAAATCCGGAGTAACCACTTCTACTAGGAATTCTTTATTATCTGTGGTAACCAGAACTATTATTATAATAAATAATAATAATTATAATAGTATCTCATAATTATATTTATTATTATTTTTTAAATGCTAATTTACCGTCTTCCTCAGACTCCGGTCCTCAGACCTCGATCGACATTCGACGTTCTCTAGTCATTACTCATTAGTCGTCGTCAGTCACTCGTTGGACGCGTTCGATACAAGTGAAGTACATACCTTCTAATATTGTGAATAAAGAGTTAACTTTTTCCGATAGTTGAAAATATGACGTGTTTAAGGCGGTGGTTATAATTTTTTTTTGTCTCGTTCTTCTGGCCATCACGTTTTAGTGTTGCAAAAAACCCTATGTAGCCCCGTAATTCAGCAAGGAACTAGTTCCATATTGTTTCAAGGTCTAACAATCGCCATTTAAAATGAAGTCTTCGCAGAGTATTTTATTCGGTATACTTCTCATGTTTGTCTACTGCCGTGGTCATTATGCAAGCGTCAGTGATCGCCATGATTTGTGTCCGAAAATCAATCCTTGGGTGTTCCTTGGCTACAGGCCGATGGGTAGATATTATGGTTTTAATGAACGACTGAAGTGTCGGATGAAGTAGGTTAGTGTTAAAGTCCAAAATTATAAATGTTTCAGGCAAAGAAGAAGCTGGTAGCTATGAAAAAATTTCAAACGTCACATTAAATGGATGTATCATGAAGTGCTGTGAATCTGATAGTTGTAATGTGGTTTTCATGAACAAAAACGATTGTTATACGGTACCTATTACATTTACATTTTATGATTTTACACACTGGTGAATAAACTAGCTCGCAATTAAAAATTAGGGTTTATATATATTTTTAGGTATGTAATTTTGTCTTGATAATAATATGATTTAGTTAAAATTTAAATGTATAGGTAGTATAATATAACTAAATAGAAAAATACATAGAGACATAAAAAAAAAAAACAATATTATCTTTGACAGTATTATTTTACATAGCATTAAACATTATCATACAACGATACACTGTTATTTTAATAATTATTAGTAGGTATGTAAATTTATGTGTTGGAGTTAAAATTAAAACCACAGGTACTGAGGTACCTATTTGTATTTTTACTGGTAAATAAAATAACTCATACTATCAGTAAGAAAGTATGTTTCCATGGATTTAAAACTGTTTTAACATAATCATCTAAACTTCCAAAGTTTTTTTTCTATTACCATCAGTTCTTCTGTCCATTTTCTAACCTTTAACTGACTGCCAGTAAGCAAAAACATTCCTAATTTTAATTTCACCAAATCTGCTTGTTTTTGTGTTAAATGGCTTGCTTCAATATCTAATCTATTAATCTTTGATTAAATAAAAATATTTGTATTAATTTATTATAATGGTTTTTTACAAATAAAAATACTATAAAATGTGTTCTGAGGGGAAGTTTCCCTCAGAGGCATTCTATATTGCTATGCATCCTTAACAGGTATTCTATTATTCAATATTACTGATTATTGCTATTATTTTTTTTCATTTTAGCAATCACCTGATCTGGGGACCTCATATCAAAACTAAAAAACTCGCCCTAAACGAACGACTACGCTCAGTTAAACCACTAATATCTAACAAGCACACTAAACTAAACACCAAACTTCTCATATATAAATCATTAATCAAGCCCATGTGGACTTATGGCCTACAACTATGGGGTAGTGCAAAAGTAACTAATGTAAATAAAATCTAAACCGTTCAAAATAAAATTTTAAGATTAATCACTAATGCCCCACCATATGTCTCCAACTACTCCCTGCACACAGATCTAAACATAAAAACAGTTCACGCTGAAGCAATAACATATTACAAAAGATTCCATAACAGACTTCCATATCATCCTAATCCCCTTATATCCAATTTAGCTTCTCGCACAATTCCAGGCAACCACACACGACTACTAAAAAGAAATTGGTGTTGTGATTTACTAAATGAATAATCCAAATAATTAAAAAAAAAAAAAAAAAAATATATATATAAGCAAACAATTAGGTAGTGCCTTCACTGGTTGGCTTCTTCCCTCACGTTTTCATGTACAAAATATTATATTACATATTCTTATTGTGCCTAAGGGTACAGATTGTATATATCTTGTTAAAAAAAAAAAAAAAAAAAATAACATTTTAGCAATACAATTTTACTTGATACCTATATCAATTTTTTTTGAAATGTTGAAGTGTATTGGAAGGCATTTATGTTAATATTTGTTATTTTTTTTATTAGCTGTCGTGTAAATCAAATGATGACTGTCTACCGGTTTATGCTAAAGAAAATATACTGAACTTCAAAATGATTTTGGTAGCTCCAAAATTACCTGTTACAGATTGGACTGACGTATTGGAAAAAAAAAGTTTCTCTGAACCTGAGTAAATATCAATATATCATTTTACAAGGAGATTCTTTTATCAAAGAACACTTAGTATTTTGAAAAATATTAAGTTGTGGACAGGGGCACAGTTTCAAAAAACTGTTAGAGCTGAAGCCCCTCAATTTTTTTTTCATATTATTTCTTGGTTATGGATACCTACAAAATGATTATTCAAATGTAAATTAACATGATTTAATTGAGGTGCTAAGCACACCCAAGCTCCCCCCTTCCAAAATGCGCCAATGGATGTGGAGTAATATTTTGTTGGATATTCCTATGTCATACCACTGCACAACTAAACTTTAAATACCTACTCATAGCTAGAGTATATTATTTTAAAATAGCCATTATGATAGTTAAAGTTTGATGTTAAAAGAATCATCCAGTATACATACTAATTATATATATATATATAATAATATATGTCTATTTTATTAAAATATTAGAGATGCCAAAGTGGTATACCCCTTAGAAAAAATATGTGAAGTGAACAATGATTGTACAGATAATGAACTATGTGACTCTCAAATTGGTATTTGTGTTTGTACCGAGGGTTACCAATTAGACGATACTAAGAAATTTTGCTACTCAAATTCTGGTAATTTGGGACTTGGATCAAACACATCTGGTTACGATGTAGATGATGTAAATAATGTTATTACAGAACAACAACAACAATTTGATAGTTTGAAAAAAGTAAATAAAAACAATTATTTGATTTTTATTGCAGTATTTATTTTGTAAACATTAAAAAATGTTCAGGTATCGATTGAAAGTGAATCACAAAAACCACCAGAAATCAAACATTTAGTTGTTTCAGTTTTGTCAAAAACTGTCCGACTACCGGAAAACGAAGCTACACTTTCTGCTTATACTGTACCAGCAGATGACACAGGTATGTATAACTTATTAAGTATTGATTAGTTAATTGTTATGAAATTTACATTATAATTCAATATTGATTTAGGTCATAGTTATCAATATGAATGGTCACTGATTTCAAAAACTCAGGGATCTGGGCAAACTGTATCAATGAATGATCAGAATGGAAGCACATTGAAACTTTCTCATTTAGTTGAAGGTTTATATATGTTCAAGGTAACTGTTACCGGTACAGGTGCTTTTGGAGAAACACAAGCCAATGTTACAGTATTACTACGTAAGTCTTAATTACAAATATATTTAATTAGCATATTATATTAAAATTAAATTTTTTAAAGCGCAAAGAATTAATACACCACCAAAAGCTGTGATATTACCATCGTCTTTGGTGGTAAAGTTACCTAATACAGTAGCAGTGCTTGATGGTTCCAGTAGTCGTGATGATACTGGTATTGTGCATTGGCGCTGGGAATTACAGAAAGGTCAGTTAGGATATAGACCTCATTTACCCCCTGACACTCCAACTTTACAGTTGAATGATCTACAAATTCCTGGAAATTACACATTCAAGTAAATAATTTTTTCATTTATTTTAGTTTCTAATCTAGGAATGAATAATTAATTGGTTTTACAATAATTTTTTTAATAGACTTAGGTAATTATTTGTAAAAATACCTTTAAAGATTTAAAATCATATTTAGATAGTAATTAGAATAGGTGATTTATTTTATTTTTTCAGTAGTTTTCCTATGTGTAAGAAAAAACTACCGAAATGTAACATATTGTATAATGTTGAACAAATAAATTCAGCAAATTTAATTTTAAGTGTGCTTTGCTCAGAGTTAATTTATTTAACTAATGTTTTTAAATTTACCTATAATGACATACCTAACTATTTCTTTATTCAGCACTGAAATGAATGAAGTCATATGACTCCCCTAATGTTAGATTTATCGTGAGATGTTTAATTTTACTTGAGGATCATATTATACAAGTTCAACTTAAATAAGATTATTTTGAAGTTGGTGTATATTGTTTTATTTAGCTTAGTAACCCTAATAGCTAATATTGTTATTTATCAGTACACTAGAAATAATATTGCATCAAGAGTCAAGACATCTACAATTTGTTCTAGGGGAAGTGAGTGGATAGTGTAACAAAAATTATAAAAAAGAAAATACCCTTTAAAGAGTGTGTCTATTTTTATTTTTTAAGTTGTTTTTAATTGAAAAAAGTAAACATTTAAAAACTAACCCGTAGTAAATACTAAATTATTTGGAGTAATACTAATTTTTGATAAAAAATGTTTACTTTTTAAATGTAATAAAAATATACATTTTTGGATTAATTGCGTAGGTATGTTGCAATAGGACAATTAAATAACTTAAAAAAAAATCTGTTAAAATGTTAAAAAGCTTTGAAAATACATAAACAAATATGTGATAAGTTTGGTTTTTATAAAAAAAGGTAATTGCCCATAACTTAAAAAACAAAAAAGTTAGACTCATTCTTTAAAGGGTATTTTTTCATCATTATTGATATACTTTCATATGACATCAGCCAGTCACTTCCCCTTGGAACTTATTGTATAGTATTTTTATTTGTAAAAAACCATTATAATAAATTAATATAAATATTTTTAATTAATCAAAGATTGACTGTTATGGATGCATGGAATGCCACCGACTCAACTACAGCTAATATTACTGTTATGCGAGTTCCTGACTATCCACCGGAGGCAAACGCTGGTCAAGATATGGTAGTTTATTTACCAGTAAAAAATGTTACTCTAAACGGAAGTCTCAGCACAGATGATCATGGTATTGTCGCATGGGAATGGACTAAGAGTTCATCAGATCAAAATAAGGCTGTTGATATTCAAGTGATTATATAAAAAAGTATTACAATAAAAAATAAAAATGTCTAATTTACTTTTAAAAATTCTTTAGGATACGCGTACACCATATCCTAGATTGTCTAATTTAGAAGAAGGTTTGTACACTTTTGTGTTAAGGGTGACTGATAATGCAAATCAAACATCAAGTCCATCAGAAGTGCATGTCTTTGTCAAACCACCAACCAATAAGCCTCCAGTTGGTATGTACATTAATATTTTTGTATGTACTATAAGAACACAATAATTATTTATATTATAACATATTTTATTTAGCCGTTGCCGGTAAAAATTTAACATTATCACTGCCTCAAACTTGGGCATCACTTGATGGTTCTAAAAGTAGCGATGATATTGGAATACAAAAATGGAAGTGGTTTCAAATTAGGTATGTGGAGAACCTTTTACATAATTTTTTTTAATGTATTCACACCATAAAATATATAAACTTATTCTAGTGGCCCATCAAATGTGCGTTTCAATAAAGACAATGATTCTAGAACAAATGTTACTGAGTTGACTAAAGGTGTTTATGTAATTGGTTTAACTGTCACTGATGGAAATGGAAATAACGCTTCAGATATTGTTAAAATAACAGTGTACCAAAGTAAGATAATGTTTAATGTAAAATAATATCAATTAGAATAATTTTAAGTATTTAAATTTAAAATGTAAAATATAGTTATTTTTTTAACATCATCCTTCTACTAAAAATTGAATCTTCATATTATATTTTTAATGCAATAATTTTATGAAATTATATTTTTGTTTCATATTAGCCATTTTTTCAATAATCTCATATGAATATTAATTCTTTAGACAAAAATACTCCACCTAAAGCTAATGCTGGCGGAGATAAGACAATTGTGTTGCCAGTCAGTGCGATTGTTCTCAATGGCTCATTGTCATGGGATGATTTGGCCATTGTAAAATGGGAATGGATTCGTGAACCAAATTCATTGGCTGCTGGAAATATAATTTTAAATTCAGACCATTCGTCAGTTTTAATTGTGTGTATATTATCTAATATCTATATATTTTTGGTTGCTTTATTTTCTTACATGAATTTTAACTTAAAGCTCTAAATTTTTTTTGAACAGGTAACAAACATTGTTGAAGGAAGATACGTATTCCGTTTAAAAGTTACTGACGACCAAGGAGCTTCTAGTGAAGATATTGTTTCAGTTAATGTCAAGCCTGGTATAATAGTTTACAAATCTTTAATTAGTCTCACGCAAATTTATATATATATATATATATGGTACAAGCTTGCATTCATTTTCAGATCCTATTGCAAAGTCTATTGTGTGTTTAACACTATATATTGAAGCAAGCCGTTTAACACAAAATCAAGCAGATGAGGTTAAATTAAAATTAGGAATGTTATTGCCTACTGGCAGTCAGTTAAAGGTTAGGAAATGGACAGAAGAACAAAATTCTAAAAGGGCCCAGCTACATTTCTTTGTTGATGACAATAAAAATAAAACACTCTCAGGACCAAATGTAGTGTCTATGTTAAAATCCAAACTCAAACAAGATTCTTCTCTTTTACAACTATCAGTAGACAATATTCAAACTACAGTTTGTCAAAATAATTGTTCAGGTTTGTGCATACAGTACTTAATTTTTGTTGATTCCTTTACAATTAATTCCTAATACCAGTAGCATAAATTAAAATTATGCTTAATTAAACAAAAAAAAAAACTTGGCGGATTGATCCCCCATAAATACACTATTGATTAAGAGGACGCCACACCCGCATACGCTGTCTCCGTCTTACAAACGTGTAATATGGCAAATTGTTCTGAGTACTTCATTATACTCTGTTAAGATTAATATTGTAGCAAATTTACCTATTATCAAATTTAGAAGTAAAAATATTCTCTAGTGAACCTCGTTGGGTTATATTTTATATTTTAAAGCAAGTTATGAGTATTTTAAAATTATAAATTGTTTGTGCATTTTAAAATACTCATAGGTAGCTTGCTTTAAAATTAAAATCTAAAATAAAACCAACGAGGTTCACTAGATAATATTCTTACTTTTAAATATTTTGATAATAGGTCAATTCGCTCTTATATTATACATACTTTAGAATCTAAGGCGTAGATAAATTAATTATACAGAACATACAATTTGCTATGTACGCGTTTGTACGACGGTGACAGCACATAAGGGTATGACCTTCTCTTAATATTAATGCAATAAACAAATTGGGTTGCGCTTAAATAATAACATGACATGCCAGGAGATTCCCATTTTTCTGTGTTCACGTGTGGCATGTGCACACAGCCCAAACAACTAGATTATTTCTAAGTATATTTTGAATTTTTATTTTTATTGATACTAATATTTTATATAGGCCATGGAATATGTGAGGAAGAAACACGTATATGTGTTTGTGAAGCCTTTTGGATGCACAATTTGTACAGAGCTTTATTTGGAGATGGTGAATCCAATTGTGGTAAATTTAAACAAACAATTTTAATATTTATTTATATTCTTAAAAATGCTGTTTTCTATAAATATTTTAACTATATAACATTTTAACTAATTATTTTATAATATTACTCAATAATTCTAAGCCTCATGATTCTTATTTAATTATTTTAATTTTAAATAATGTTTAGGTAGTATTAAAATGTACACAAGTCAGATTTGAATGGTAAATTATAATATTTATTAATTATCTCTTAAAAATTAAAGTATATATACATACAATATTCAAGGTGATTGTTTTTGATGTGATCTGGAGCAGCACATGGGTTCTCTGTAAAATCTTTGTCCACTACTGTATTTATCTAAACTTTAAATACTTATAACTCATTAACTACTTGTCCAAAATTAAATTTGTTTATATGAAAGTACTCAGTAAAATATTCTGCTTTGGAATAAGCCACTAAAAATGCATCTTTTTCATTAAAAAATTAATAATCATTAAAAAATTAATAATCATTAAAAAAATATAGATTATTATTTTTTATCATTAACATTATGTAAAAGATATGTTTCCAAAAAAGGTTGAGTTTTTAATACAAAAATATTACTGTTTAAACATTCCATACTAATCTTCCATTGTAATCGTCGAGACAAAATTATGTAATTGCCAAAGATTTTATGTTAAAAAGAAATTAAAATGTAACATACTTCCACAATATGTCTGTTATAGTTATACATTATTGTTATTGCTACTATTTTATCTTATAAATGTGTCTTCACCTTTATGACAAAATATACTTTAGTGGGATAGGGTCTCAATATCTTGGGTTATTCAATATTATAATTTATACTTACCTATTTTAACATTTTAAATCATCATTTTAATTGTAAACTTAAATTTGTATGTGCTCACTATATACTGTAGATATCAAGTATCTAAAGAAAAAAAAATATTAAATAGGTATTAAATTAAAAAGGATACTATTTCATCAAGCCAATAAAAGAATATCATTATTTTTATTATTATTTAAAGGATATTTACTATGTGATATATGTATACTATTGTATGAATTATAAATGTGTAATATGTACATAAATATATTTTTTTTTATATAGAATGGAGTATTGTATACGTGGTCATCATATTAATTGCTATGTTTGTAACTACAGTATTTTGTTTTTGGAGTATTGCTTGCTTCTGCAATCGCATCTGTAATACTAAACAAAAAATAAAAAAATACAAGCTGGTTGGAGTTGATGATGATAATCACTCAATGAAAAGTTAGTTTTATGATTTGTTGTTATTATTATTTACTAAAAAAAAATTTGGTTGTATTTTTAGGTTCAATGTCGCACTTAGAATTATCTGACACAGATTCGGATTCAGACGTATTATTAGATGTGAGAAAGGCCAAGTTGGATAAAAACAGTATGTCAAACAAGTTTTTAAATGCATCCCGTTACAAGAAGAATAAGAGAGGAGTTATTGCTTAAACTGTTGAAAATTGCAATTATAATTTTTACTATTTATAACAGAACTTCAGAACATCAATAGCTTCTCGTACACTAAAATAAGAGCTTTATTCTAAAAAAATATTATTTTTCAAGTTTGTGGGAAAAAAATTGTTTATTTGATGAACTGATAAAATTTTACACACATATTTCTGATATTACTATTAAAATTATTTGAATATTATATTTTAAACAAAACCTTTATAGAGTATTCTGATGTATACCATTATTTTCTAGTCATGCTTGTTTTGTTTTATTGCAAACTTTGTTGTGACAAAAAGTAAAACAATTTTCACAAATATTGAACAATGTGTTTTCACTTTTTATTATTGTTGCTAACAATATTATGGAATTTATTAGTGTAATGTTTATGTACCGGAAAAATAATTAATGACATTGATTTCAAAATCTAAATTAAATTTGAGAAATTTACAACAATAGTCACAAATATTACTTTGTTATAAAATAAATAATATTATATTATAATGTATTACTAGTAAATTCCTAATTACAAGCTTTAATTTATTGTGATTATTTTATTATATGTACTAAAAACAAATTTAAATTTTTATAATAGTTTATAATATTATTATTACCAATTAACATTTGTAAGAAAAAGTTCCTTGAATATAATATAATGATAATTATTCATATTTGTATCTATACCATAACAAACACCATTGTCTATTTATTTTTTATAGCATACAAATTCTCTAAGAAAAACTTATTATTTATGATGAACATTGTATTAAATATTGTAATGCTTTTTAAAAACATTTATCAAAGAAATCAGTGAACTCGCTGGATAATAAGTGTCATGTGGAGCTCGCATTGTAATGGATGTTTTAAATTTGAATTCAATGAGAAATTGATTCATTGTGGTAAGCATAGGCTGTTCTCTGCTTTAAATAAAAACATCGTGTATATTATAAAATAATTCAAACATTATACATAATTGTTATTAACTTAGTAACTTACCTACCGGTAAACTGTACTCATAGTTTATAAACTTGTATAAATAATTTAAAACTGAATAGTCTAAATATTTTGAAAATTTCTTTGCACATATAATTTAATGAAAAACATTTTTAAGTCCTTACAATTAAAATTTTTTGAATTAAGTACATCAAAATAACTTATACAGTTGGAAGAAATAACGTTTTTTTTTCGTCAATCAAACCTTTTTTTTACCAATGTATTTTCGCTATTTTTTAATTACTTTAAAAACTATTTTTGCAAAACTTGCTAACGGGCTGACCTATAGGTTGAATTCATTTTTGCAAAAAAATATGTATTTGCATTTTGCATACCTATTTTCTTAGAATGTTCAGTGAATTTTCGGTTACAGACTTCAGATTATCAAACTATTACCTACCTAACTACTTACAAGAAGGGCCTTAATTCAAGCATACAAATGTGAAACTATAAATTTTAATTACATATTAATTGGGATTGTATAAATTTAAACTTCAATGCTTATAAAAATAATCGTGCCTATGAATCGTTAATATTTGTTTAACTGTAATATATATACTCTGTTCAACGAGAGAATGCACTGAGCAACAACCAAAATTGGTTCCCCACGCAACATCCTGCTATAGGAGAACTGGTTTCAATAGCAGTGTGACACGGGGAGATGCGCAGAATCTGTGCGTTCTCTCGTTGAACAGAGTATAGCTATAATGAAAACTTATGAGGAATCTTGTATTACATTTTTTAGCTTTTAGGTTTTGAGTGGAGCGGGGAAGCTATTGGTTTTTACAATGGTGTTTATTTTTATTTTTATTTTTTTATATCCTGTATTCAAAATATCTACCAAAGGAGTGCTTCGTTTTCAACATATAGTACCTACCTTATCTTTTTAGCAAATTTTATCAAGATGGTACTTTAGAAAGGTCAATTTTCGATTTTCTCTATAGTTATTTAATGTCACGGGAAAAATCACTGATAAATTACAAAAAAACCGCTAAAAATGGGATTTTAATTTCTAACGCTTTGTTTACCACCCTAGAAACGAATAAAAAATAATAAGACCTACTATAATATAAATTTAACTTATAGGATATAATAAATAATAACAAATAACAATATCCAGACTGACAAACCATCTCCGCTCAGAATCGTTTTTCTTATACAATGGAATTATATCATTGAATTCAAGTTTAATACAATCCTTTATACATTGGCCCAATTGCAACCTACTGTACAGCAGAGCGACACCCACTCATCCACTTTTTTTTATTTTATTTTATTGATCATTAAGCCCGGCAACTATGGCCATTAACTGTTTGTTTGTTTGTTTGTTTGTAGGGGAGGGTACAGGGTACTGTAGGTTGGTAAACACATGCGTTTGGTTTTGGCAGAATTTCAAATTGGGCACCCATAGGTTTCTGCCATAGTGCCATGTCCGGTCGAAGGTGGCGGTATCTCTCTCTAGACAGTTGCCTGCCTAGAGAGAAAAGCCGCCCGTGGTCAAGAGTCGAACCGGCGACGGTACCCGTCGGAACAGACGCCGTAGTCCGCTCGACCACTCGCCGTCCACTTTGTGACCGAACGAATAATAAACAAAAATAGGAAAATTTAACTTTTTTTTTTAAATAGTTCTTTTAAATACTTAACAAGAAAAATACTGTATACATTTTCAAGCCTTATATAGGTGTTAAAATTAAAAATGTTACTAATTTTTAACTACAAAATAATTGTCATATTTTCGTGATTTAGTGAATATTATTACTCGGAGCCTTGGAGGACTTAACGCGTGGGTGTGTTGTCTCCCGTCCTTACTAACGGTCAAGATCGCATAATATTTTACGTTCGAAATCATCCATTTTACTCTGTTATTTTTTAAAATTAGAGAGCAGGTAGGTACTTGACCTATTAGAAAATTTAAAAGTAAAATTATGGACAAACTCGAGTTGGGTCCCAGATTTCAAAAACAGCATGAGTTGGGTCCCGGTATACTTTATGTAATACACGAGTTGGGTCCCGGTATACTTTATGTAATACACGAGTTGGGTCCCGGTATATTTTATAGAGTACACGAGTTGGGTCCTGATATATTTTATGGAGTACATGAGTTGGGACTAGCCTATTTGCGTTACCCAGGAGACACCACGTGGAGGTTGGCTAGAATGTCTCCCAAAAATTTTGTTTTTTGTTATGTTAAGGTCTGATGTAAAAATTATTAAAATATTAAAATTATTATTAAGTAATTAGATTAATTTTAGAAAATAAAAAATAAGTAATAAATATTTGTACTAAAATAAATATAAGCTAGGGAATAAATTTAAATGACACTTCTTTTACAAAATTTAACCGCGTCAATTCTCCACTAGTAAAAGAAAGCATCTTTTCTCTTAAAAAATTTTCTTTTTCTACGGTTTTTTTGATTGGCTGTGTGGCTGAGCTCCGAAGTGATACATAGATTTCACTCTGAATCCCAAGTAACATTTCTACTAAAACAAAAATGTTAGGGTGAGCTGCACTGATACTAGCATTTAATTTTGCATGATAACTTTCACAACTATTTGTGGTGCGATTTGTGGTTGCTGCAAACTCGGCCCAAATATTAGGTGGAAATAATGCATCTTGCTCTATATACGTTTTCAGTAGATAATCGCAAAATGTATCTAGAGTTGTATTTACTGGTTTGATAGTCATTAAGTCATCAATAAAACAATCAAACCCCTCCTCTGGTTTCAAAAATGGTAAACCAAAAATACACTTAAGATAGTCACTTATATCATTATTGGAACTTTTATACGCCTTCGATAGCCCAAGTTGTTGAATTTTTCGCCACCAACTTTGCGCTAAGTGAAATCTACAACCCCTAATAATAGCATTTGGCCAAACACACTTGACAGACGTATGAATTGCCACCTCAAAATCGACAAAAATTTGGGTAGGTTGAATTTTCAGTTGAAGAGATGTGCAATAACTCACGATATACTGGAAAGCTTTAGTGTAAGTTTCTAATGTTTTATTGGGTAATATCAAGAACACCAATGGTACATACAAGCCATTTCGAAATCCGTGAATAGTAAAAAGTTGTAAGAAGTATTTCGTACAGCTTTTAAACGTACCGTCCATGTATATTTTAGTAACATCACACAAAGCTTTAAAATTTGTCTCGGTTGAAAAACCTATAATATTATCTTCCAAATTATTACAGAATAAAAATTGTTCGTCTTTGTTGGTAGTTATGTTCATTGTGCTTAAACAATTATGTACTTCATGGATGCTTTTAGGTAATTTTGGATATAGTACTTTACGAGCATGATGGATGTTATTTCTTATTAATTTCAAATCGTTAGTGTTTATCGAAGGTATATCACTGTTTTTTAACTCAGATCTAATGAGCTTTGAAGGTCGTGTAGAAATATCATCTTGTGCTTTTCTTTTAACCGAGTTACTTAACTTTTGTCTATTCAGAACCTTTTCATCACATTTTTGGTGATTATGAACGTTACATTTCTCTATTATGTCTAAAGTGGACGATAATTTTAAAAAACACTTACATGTATTAAGATAACACTTCCAACGTTGTACATCATTCCGCAACATTTTGTGGAAGCGAAATTTAAATCCGTCTTCAATGATAATTTTTTTACCTTTTTCGCTTGACATGAAATCCATAATTTAATTTTTATATAATATTAACACTACAAAACACTATACTTATTTTATTTTATATTCTAATAGATGGATACTTCTAGCGTTGACATGTGCCGGTATACTGGCAAGTTACAATAATATGTTATCCGGCGACAACTGTCCGGTTACGTTGTATACGTCTTATTAAGATAAGATATGATAGGTTATATCTATGGATATACCTAACCAAATATATTAATAAATATGGAAGAGACAAAATGTAAAAAAAAAAAAAATGTTATTAGATGGACACTTCTAACCTTGACACGTGCTGTCAATATTATACGTGTTAATATCTTATTAAAATAATATAATAATAATAATATATA